TTCTTTTTTTTTTTTTTTTAAGATTTATTTATTTGTGCATACAGAACTGGGGTACAGGCCAGAGGCTCAGGGATGGTGAGAGGCTTCACCAGAGACAGAGTGGGGAGCAGAACAGGCAGATCCACGAAGTACACTGCTGAGGGGAGCAGTGGGTGGGTCAGGAGAGGTCTGCCACACCATGTGGTCACATCCAGGGCAGGCGGGGATCCAACTCATGCGGAAACGGCTTTAGATTCTCAGTGCTGTGTTTTAACCCGCTGCACCACCAGGGAGGGCCTAGAATTTCTTTTTAATAGGTGTTATTAGTCCTGAGTATTTAAATAATTAGTCAAGAAAACATTCATAGATATGTCTAGGAGGAAACCAGTGACACTATTTGTGGATGATACTGGAGAAATATTGTCAGAATCTGGCAAAACTGAATAGTAGCATTTAATGCTCCGTGTAACTTTAGGAGATCCAAGGGCCTGGGCCCACGTTTCTCTTAGTGGATGCCCTTGATTCATACTTTACTGAGAAAATGGTCAAGGAGCATAACTTTGACTATCTACTCAACCATTTCCAACAACATACAATATAATTGGACTTAAAGTATGGTCCTTTAAGAACCCATACTTCTTAACCTGGTTTTTACTGTTTCTTTTAATTGATCTCTTCAGAAATGTATGTCATATAGTGGTTTAAGAATAAGTGATTAAAAAAATGATATGAATTGTAGCCCAAACCAGTTGCAACAAGACCCACTGGTGTATTTTGCTGCAGGAAATTTCAGTGCTTGGGTAATGGGACAGCATTCGATGGTAGTGTCCAGTCGGTGTCATTAGAGAGTAAACAGTAGTTGAAACAGAGTGAAAAACTTCCTTAGAAATTGGCTCGCTTTTTAGAATACATAAAATAAAAGTTAAAAATCACACAAAGTTATGATCCCAGTAAGCACAAGTGTGGACAGACTAATACAAACAGATTAGTCCTTCAATACAGCGGCTGATATTAATGTGAGTAATTAGGGGAACCTTATGTGGTCCTCTACGGTGAGATTTCGAGAGGTTTTCATAGATGTTTCTAGGAGGAAACCATGACGCTATCTGTGGATGATGCGACTGGAGAAATACTGTCAGAATCTGGCAAAGCTGAGTAGTACTTGATGCGCCATGTAACTTTAGAAGAATCAAGGGCCCGGGCCCACCTTCCTCTTAGTTGATCCCCTTGACTCATACCTTGCTGAGAAAATGGCAGTAATCACCAGAGAAACTGTGCAGCCTCATCGTCCTCCCTACCAGCGTCCACACCTACACACATAATCCGCTTTCCTTCCTGACACTATAGATGAGCTGCCCGTGTTCCTAGGGGGACCAAAGTGTGTCCTTGTACCTATTGAACTTGTCTATTGAACTTTGTTCCAGCTGTTCTTTCTCCTGCATGATTAATGTTTTCCTCTCTACTCAGCCATTTCCGGCAACATACATAGTCCTTAAAACAAACCACCACTTTGACTCTTGCCTTCAGTTACCACCCTACTTCTGTCACCCTTTATGGCACTGTATCTTCATGCTGTCTCCTGCCTCTAGCTCCTCTTCTGACCCCTTAAGCCCACTCCAAACAGGCTGCTGCCTCCTACCACTTCTCCAGAACCCTAATCTCCCCTACATGCTAAATCCATTGATATCTCCATCTTGATATTGTGGCAGTACTCAACATGTCTCTTCCTTGATACATATTTGGCTTGGGCTTCTTGGACATCCACTTGCTTGGTTTTCCTCCTCCCTCCCTGCCAATTGTCTTTTCAGTCTCCTTCTCTGGGTCCTCCCTCCCTTCTCCCTGATATCATACCATTCCTCTGCTGAGTCCTCCTCTTATCCCAAATATAGCATTGGGGTACCGTAGACTTAATGCTTAGCCCCCTTTTCTCTTTACCTATTCTCAGTTCTTGCCGGTTTTACCTAGTCTCAAATCTTTAGAAGCTGTGGAAATGCCAATTCCTGAACAGATTCATTTCACCAGATAGAATTCTCTGAACTCCAAACTCATGACCAATTGCTGCTTGACCTCTACCTACATGTTTAATAGCCATTCCAACTTTAATTTATATAAATCCAAGCTCCTGCTCTTCCTCTCCGACCTACTCAATTCTTCATCATTTCAGCTGTAGTCCTGCCATTTTCCAGCTGTTCAGGCCACAAACCACCAGTAAGTCTTTGGTATATTTTCAAAATCCATCCAGAAATCTGCCCCCTTTCACCACCCTTTCTCCCTCTAGCTAGAATTACTCTAGCAGCCAGTGAGAGCATTTTTTTAAAATAGTACAGATTAAAACTTTTATTTCATTCCTGTTGGAAAAAAAAAAAGTGATTTTTCCCAATGAGATTATAACCACCCCATTTAAAATTGCAACCTGTGATCTCCTCCCTAATTTTATCTCTTCTCCTCTCAATTTCTTTTAAAATGTTCTTGTATACATTAATGCGCTTCTTTCTTGCTTTGTCTCTCCTTCCTTTAGTATGTAAGTCTGTGAATCTGTGAGAGGGTGGGGAGGTGTTGTTTTTATCATTCATACATTCCAGCATTTAGAACAAGACAAATGCATAGTAAAAGACTGGTAGTAAATAGTAGTTAACTCTTCTAAATTGGATAACTGTCATTCATTGGCATATTTGTTATGGAGAGGGATGGCTTCCAAGTGTCACATACCACCTTTGTTGTCAGAGGATATCAAAATTGTAGACAAAGCCAAGTGAAAACCATGAATTATGACAGTGGCTGACTGTTAGGATTTTTAAACTAAATGCTGTATGTTCTTATTACAATTGTTAATTTAGTAATGTGTGCAGCTACACATGTGGCAATTGGGACTTGTTGACTTTTTTTTTTAGTATTTATTTATTTTTGCATACAGAATTGAGGTACAAGCCAGAGGTGCAGGGGCAGTGAGAGGATTCACCAGAGACAGAGTGGGGAGCAGAACAGGCTGAGGGACACTGCTGAGGGGAACAGCAGGGAGAGAGGAGAGGGCTGCTGCGCCCTGTGGGTCACCTCCAGGGTGGGTATCGAACTCGCACTGAAGTGGCTATGGCCAGCTTGCAGTGCTGCGTCCTAAGACATTGTGTCACAGGGAGGGCCTGTTTACTTTTTTATTTGGTCTTGTGACACCACTGTCCTAGTTCAAGATTACATTGTCTGACTCCTTGCTAGGAACTTTATAAAACATTGTGGTGTTTAACTGATTCTTTGTAGTGAATTAAATCGAGGCAAAGATGTCTGGATAGGGAACAAAGAAGCCTTGGGTGAGCTTAAGGTGGGGGTGGGGTGTGAAGAAGCTGAGAGTGGCCCTGGTTTCAAGGCAGGCAAAATGCCACAGGAAGGAACCATGTCACTGAGAAAAGACAACAGACATAGCCGGCTCATGTTTACTTCCCGCAGAAGGAGGGAATGCACAAGACCCAGCCCCTCCAAAGCCTCGGAGCACCTCGCTGGAACTGTTGAAGCTGGCGTGGGCAAGTGATTGCACGCACCCAGGCACCCAGGGTGTGCTGCAAGGGGGTATTCCAGCCTCCCCCATAGGCTCTGAAGCACAGAAAGTGGGGGTGTGCCTGAGGGTCACTGACATGCTCAGTGAAGAAAGGACGACACGTGAAATCTAGATCCCTTACTAGGCAATAAACCCACTGGGGCCCCAGGGCCCTCTGTCTCCATCCCAAGGCCCATCCAGGCAGCTAAGGTGGGTGGGAGGGTGGGAGGTGCCGCTCAAGATTACTTCGTCCAACATCGCGAGACTTAAAGGATTGCAGTTGTTGAAAATACTGGTGTGGTGGTTGTAGCAACAATAGATAGGAAATTCATCATCTAGACTCTGCTGGGGACCCTAAGAAGCCAAGGGACTCAAGAGAGCATTGTCCAAAATGGCAGCTAGTAGAGAATATTGGGAAGAAGACAAGAGCTTGTTGCTTAAGAGGTGATGAGAAAGGAGCCAGTCATTTAGAAGTCATAACTTAAAATGTAATGAAGACCTTAAATCCAAGATCCTAAAAGTATGAAACCAAATCAATGTTGAGGCAAAGCTTGTTCATAACAAATCTATACCTCCCTGTTCATCATCCCTTAAAAATGTCCTGGCTAGTTTCTAAGAACTTTTGATTTACTAATTGGTTGCCATGGAAACCTACACAGAAATCTGTCTTAATCTACACTTGACTTGAGTGCATATAACTGGCATGAAGTCTTTTGTTAAGCAGAAAAACAAGACTCTCTGTGCATCTCAATTCGGGCTTTAACAGACTCATAAATGAAAACAGAGTAAATGTGAAAGCAAGTTTTTCCCTCCTTGAGCTTAAGGCAGCCCTGTCAGTACTTGACAGCACTGTAGACTCTAAAGTTCACCCAAGAAAGAAAAATCAGATATATGAACCTGTCTCTGCATCTCTGATCCCCTCCCATCTTGCATACACCATGAACATTTAAGCTCATACTCCTTAAGCTACATAGATGCCTGTATAAGAACAGCTGGTACCACTTAAATTTGGGGGTTCCTGCCCTCTTTGACTTGGTGTTGACCCCTTATTACCCTTTACCTGGTTATGAGTTCACCAGTAATGTTGAAAATATTTTGCTTATTTTACCACCATTTTTAGTTGTTTTAACTGCATGGAGAACTTAGCTATACGTTCGGAACTGGAAGACCGTATTTTACAGTAGTATTCTGGTTTGAAAGCATTCACATTATTTTTTATGCTTTCTTTTCATATGCAGAGAACTGGATGGTTCTGGAAGACTTCCATATTGGTTATGCGCCAATTACTTCTCAATTTTTGGCCTCTCTCTTTTTAAACAATTGCACAGTAATTTGACAAAATGTATGTAAACAGCTGATTATATTACTTGACTTTGAGATTATTCTTCTCATTGGAATGCACCTGGGCATGAAGTAATATAAATACAACTAAGAATTAAATTGTAATTTTGTTTAGAGTGTACGTGTTTACATGTGTGTATGTATTTTCTACCAGCCTGCTGCACAGAATAATAAAGATTCCAGCCAGAACTTCTTGAGACTTAATGACTATGTTTACAGTGGTGTGGAGACTTTGGGAAAGGAACTCTTTATGTACTTTGGACCCAAAGCTTTACGGTAAGGTAAACCTATACAATATGTCTTATTTCTCCCTGTTTAAAGATGAAGAGAAGGCTTTCCTTGCAGTTTGTCAGTGTCACATTTAATCATGTAGAAAGTACTCTGTTGTGAAGAGAGCTCCAACATAAGAGATTGAGATTCTACCATGAAAGGAAATAAGCAGAA